ATTCATTTAGGTTCTTCAACCTTTTTTTCTGTGCTGATACAGCAGTCACTGCAGTGTAAAGGACACCAGAGATAGCCTTAAATTAGCTATCTCAGGGATGAGGAATATTGGAGTCATGGGAAGCTGGACCTTACCTGTTTTCAATGTATCTTGCTTTGTGATTTTCTGACTTGTTTAATTACAGGGATCGTGCACTGGCACAAATCACTGTGACCAAGCTGTGCCTCAGCTTACACAGGGAATATTGCTTACGTGTACCTGGGAATGGTACTCTGGGGTGGAAGAGGTAGTGGCATTGTAGATCACATCAGGGAACAGAACAGCTGAAGAGAGAAACTGCAGGTGCCGTGGCAAGGAACAGCGGAAGAGATGACAAGGCTAGCACTGGCTGAGGGCTGCTGGAGGACTTGTTAGTGTCTGGGTGTGATTAAGCAGAGGGGAAAGATTTGCAAAGGACTAGAATTAAATACTTCAGTATGGTATGGAGAAAAGAACCTTGGAGCAATTTAAGATGGCTGAGTGAGTGTTGCTTTCCAAGGAAAAAAACAGCAAGGAAGATCAGCATTGGATGAGGGAAGCGAAGAAATAGGAAATGGTTACAGTTATCAAGATGAAAGATGGTATAAGCTTGGCCAATATTTTTAATTCTACTTTTTTTTTTCTTTTTTTTTTTTTCCTGTGATTGCTGTTTGCAGCTACTGGGTCAGAATACTGAGTATCTGCCACATACTCTTCTGCCTTTCCATTTGAATATTCTTCTTATCTTCATAGAAAATTATGCTTCATTTTTACCTGTAAACTCAACCCTATTCTATTTGGCAATTGCGAGTGCTTGCTTTTTTCCAGAACATCTTCTTTTTTTGTCTTTCCTGGTCAGTGGTCTTTCCAGTCTGCCTATATCTTCTTTCTTAATTATTTTTTCTGATGAAGACATTATTTGTAGCTGTTCCTGCACACATCAGCATGCTCCTGCACAGGACTCTCCTTGGTCATTGTTTCCCAAAGAAACCTTGGGAATGCTTCAGCCAACCCTGAAAAGAAGCATTCTTTATGCAGGGCACTTTTCAAGCAGCATGCTATATGGGGTCTTCAGTCTTTGCCCCAGAGTGCAATGTTACATTTAATTGTGCAGTGGTCAGGAAAGGGATTCAAGGTCAGGCATTTTAGATTTGTGCATCTATGAAAATATACTTTTCCTTCCCTCTTATCCCAGCCATTGTTCAGGTACTGGAAATGTGTTCAGCTAGTAGCTTTAGCACACAGTGTTGTTAATTCTGTCAAAGTTTTAGTCTGTGTGACATTGGCTTTATCATAAGATTTCAAACCTTCAGCGTTCAAATATATGTGTTGTTTTTTTTCTCACAATACCTAACTGAATGTTTTTGCATATGGTATTTAGAGAAAGTATTAAACACAAGTGAAATAGATTAAGAAATGAATGTAAAAGAATCAATTCTTTTGAACTGTGGTTGCATAATGGAAATCGACTGCTATGAATGAACCTATGTTCAGAAGTTATGAACAGCAGAGCTAATGCACTGCCATGAGTTCATCTTTATTATTGCATTACACCTGAATCAATTGATAAAGTAGCTTTTTTTTTAAGGCTAGGAATGGCACTTAATTGAATAAAAGTCAATGTAATTATATTAGGAGAATCCAACAGTACTGCTGACAGCGGAAAAGGGACACTACTGAGTAGAGTGCCAGAACTTGTCCACACATTTCTGCACATCGTTTGCCTGACAGATATTATGGGCTGGTACATACTTTAATTAGATTACTGATTGCCACTGCTGTAAGTGAGAATTGAATAAGAGAGGCATCTCTCCATATCAGAGCATCAGCAGGGTTTGCATCCTTACACTGGTCTTTCTCAGAATAGTCTCTGTCCATCTGGGGCTCAGTGGCCCCTCTTTAAGATGATTTATTCTTATCTCTTCATTCAGTGAATGTTGAAGTTATTTTCACTTCATGGCTGGCTGCTGTTTTTCCCAGCAACAATCCAAAGAAACAGTGAGAGCTAATGTGTGAGAAACAGCAGTAACAGTTATACTGACCAGTTTCTGCAGCGTAGCAAATTTCCAGGGGTGGGGGGAATTGTAAGAAGTAAACCCACGAGCACTTTATGAGTAGTTTGCAGTTAGCATTATGATGATAAGCACAAATGTGCTTTTATGGTCATGTGCGGACAGACCTTCACAGTAAGCATTTCCTGTACAGTGCTTAGCAACTTTACCTGGGCCTTTATGCCATCTGACACCAGGAAGGCAAGGGACTGTCAGGACTACTGTTTGCCATTCATGTGTGTGTCCTCTGTATGCATCTGTTCAGAGCTCATTTGTGGATGATGATGGGGATGATGTGAATATGCTTTGATTAATTTGCTTTAAGTTTTTCATGTTGTGTGGTTGAGACAGTATCCATTAGGACAACAGCATAAGTGAGATTACAGTTGACAAAAAGAGTTTCACAATCAAGACTTTTTTAAAGTCTGTAATTTATTAGTTTCAAACATTATTTTCTTTTGACTTTTTTTTTTTTTTTTTTTTTTTTTGACCAGATATGTCTGGATTGGAATGTGAATTTGTTCTTTCTCTCTCTCTCCTCTTTCTTTCTTTCTCTTTTTTCCTCTCTTCTCTCTCTCTCTTTTGTGATCTCAATTTAGCAAAAGATTAGAAAGCTGATCTTATCACAAGGTAAGCTCAGCCTTCCTAAGTGCAGTGTGGGGATATGCATAATTACACTTCTGCGCCTCAAAAAACAATGGTGCTATATTTGCTTGTGTGAAAGAAGTGCTTCCCATGTGGGAAAACAAACAAGGAATGCTCTCCACTTTTTTTCTGCCCTTGCCCATACCTCTCAACTGTCTCACATTAGAAGAGAAATTCTCCATTATAGACCTCCCTTACTGGAATATTTACATCCTGAGCAGATATTATTGAATTAAACTGCAGTTCAGCATCAGTTTTATGTCAGAGAACAGTTACCTGCACTTGCAGGTGAGTGGGTTGGATAACTTCTATTGCTGTTATCTTTATTTATTAACATAAATTAAGAGTAACAGATAGATTAATCATAAAATAAGTGACATAAAATTAGAGACATTGACTCCGCATCAATTTAATCTTCCTACATTTGCATTTACCTTTTTTATCTGCATTGTATTACTGTACTGTGTTTTGGACTTCAGCTGGTTGAGAGGTATGTTTCAAAGGGTTTCTTAAAACAAAAGCTTACAAAAAGGAAATATTGCTAATAGTTATTGTTTCCCTTTCTTTTTTTTTTTTTTTTTTTTGTTACCATAGGATCTGAATGTTTGTAAAATATTTGATCATTGTTATGTTTTCCCGTGTCAGTTTTATACCTAGTGCTTTTTTTGCAAATTAAAGTATTCCTATGTTAAAACTCTCTCTTTCTCTCTTTCTCTCCCTTCCCCCTTCCCTCCCTTTTCTTTTCCCTCCTACATTTGGGCTCTGATCTGCAATTTATAATGGGCAGACAGACTGGTGAGTCTGCATGTTGTAAATTGCGGGTTTGGGTCCTTAGCTTGCAAAGAATGTTCCGCAGTAGAACTTCGCTAATTCTTTTGTTACTGACTTGAAAATCCAGTCAGCCTCCAAAAGAAGCTAAATATTTGTTGTTTCCTCCACAATGGTGTACATTCTGAATACTAAACACTAAAGTTTTCTAATATTGAAAACTTTGTACTGATTTCTCATCATTAAACACTTCAACAAAAAGAGCATGTTCTGCAGTCAGAGGTCTTTGATATCTGTGTTCGTTGGTTGCATTGTTAATTCAGAAAATGCAGTTTTTCAAAGAGGGTTTTCTGATGCTACTGCAAATCAGTGAGGTTCTACTGCAATGGAAAAATAAAGCCGATGTCAAAAGTGGAGAGTAGAATGCAGCATTTACAATAATAAGCTGGTTTACACAGTTACTAACCCAAAGGCTTATGTTTGTTTGCAAATGTAGAGCTTTACTTCTTGAGAACAAAGGCCCTGATCCTGTAAAACTCTTGAGAATATTTTAACTTGCAGCTCTTGGGATCTGGTCCAAAGACCACTGACGTCAGTGACAGCTTTTCCAGTGTCTCTTGAGCACTCACAGTGACTTCAACACACACCTAAGCCAAAGCCCATGGTTAAGTGTTTTGATCGATTTGGGGCAAAATTCTGATTGCCATTAGTAGTTATTTTGCTGGGTCATTCAGCACTACACAGACACAGTCCTGGGAAGAGTGCAGTGAGGAGTGGCAGTGTCCTCCCAGAAGGATGGCATCAGTGACTTTGGCTAAGATTTTCAGAAACTTACATGTGGATTTCAGAGACTTGTTCTCCTAAACCTTTCAAGTCTTCTCCATCTTGATTTGGCCCAATTCCGAGTTCCTTTATACCAGAATTACATTATCAGAATCAGGACCTCTGACTATGTATCATTTGGTTACCTTTATAATTTTCTTCTCCTATATTTCACTTACAGTTATGTGAATATATATGTATACGTATTATATATTTATATGTATGTATGTATAAATATATAAGTATTTGGTTATAGGTACAGATATAAAGATAGATATAGATACAAACACACACAGATATTTTAAGTATTAATCGTGTTTACTCCTGAAATGAGGCTTTAGGAAGGGCAGCAGGGATTCAGGGACCAAGAACATCACTTTGCATTTTCTGTTAGTCCAACTTACTATTTTGCAAATATCAAATAAAAGAGCTATAGCTGCTGCTGGGGACTAATGTTGAGGAGCAGTAGCTGAAAACAAAAATGATATGAGGGGGGGTTATTTTGCTTCATTTGTTTTGTTTTTATGTTGCAAATTATTCATTTTTAACAAGACTGAATTTTCCAAGAAACACGAATAGGGGATATTTGTATAAGTTACTGCTAAGTCAGAATTTGGGTTTGGTGCTTGGCAACTTTGTGTTTAATCAAAAATACTGTACATTTTTCCTTTCTTCCCTTCCCTCTTCCTTTCCCAGACACAGTGCTAATATAAACCTGCACCGTAAACTGTTGACCAAAGAACTGGATGACATGGGCCTGGACTCCTCACAGCCTTCTCTTAGTAAGGACCTCCGTGATGAATTTTTGGTGAAGATATATGGCTCTCAGCATCAGATGGGGCTTGACATAAGGGAAGACACCTCCTCACCTGCTGGTACTGAGGATTCCCATATGAATGGGTATGGCAGGGTCATGTCGGAAGACTATATGGTCCTAGACCTGAGCACCACCTCCAGCATCCAGTCCAGCAGCAGTATCCATTCCTCAAGAGAATCTGATGCAGGAAGTGATGAGGGCATTCTCCTGGATGACGTCGATGGGGCAAGTGACAGCGGGGAGTCTGCCCACAAAGCAGATGCCCCTGCCTTAGCTGTAGGTATGGGCACTGATGTCCCAGGATCCCTCATGTTCAACAGTGTTTCGGTGAGCAACGGTGGGATAATGTGTAACATTTGCCACAAAATGTACAGCAACAAGGGAACCCTCAGAGTGCACTATAAAACAGTGCACTTGCGAGAGATGCACAAATGCAAAGTACCTGGGTGCAACATGATGTTCTCCTCTGTCCGTAGCCGAAACCGGCACAGTCAGAATCCCAACTTGCATAAAAACATTCCGTTCACTTCAGTAGATTAGTTCAAGGATGGACACGGCATAATGCCAGCTCTCAGAGAGGGCCCACCACATTTGAACTGCCATATACAGCCTCCCTTGATATATATATATATATATATATATAAATATACATATATATATAATCTTTTCTTTTCTTTTCTAACAAAAGAAAGAAACACCAGGTGCTTTTTTTCCCTCTGTTGGTTGTTGGTTTATTTTTTTTTCCTTTTGGGGGGGGATAGAAATAAAAATGTGGGATCTTTAATCTGGGGTGAAATACCCTTTAAGAAAAAAGCAAAGCAAGCAAACAAACAAACAAACAAACAAAAAACACAGAGAAAGCCTGCAATTGTCCCTAGTTCTGTTAGAATGTTCTTGGTCATCTCCAAAGAGACAATTTGTTCTACCCATGAGCTTCACCTGAAAAAAAAAAAAAAAAAAAAAAAAAAAAGAACAAAACAAACAAACAAAAAAAAAGCAAAGGAAAAAAAAAAGAAAAAAAAATCTACTTAGTTGTCTTTGTGTCTTCTAAGCATTGGGGATAATGTTCTACTAAGCATGGCTGTTACACTTGTATATATATATTGAGCCTTGACAGGCCTATGATGTAAAACAATTGTATTGATGGTGGTTTAACTCTTTTTTTTTTTTTGCTTAATTTTTACAGTTACATTCAGCTGTTAGATAAGCAGGAAAAATAGTTTGCTGGCTAGTTCTACTCATTTATGTTAGCTTTAATGCACATTTTTAAAAGAACCACGGTCTTGTTTTAACTACCTGCTAGATATAAGTAATACAGAGGTGCTGGCATGCTTTACAGTACCTGATCTGATACAGTTTTTTTTGTCTTGTACTATTACATAAATCCAGTCATGCACTTTTTAGTACACTACAAGGGGATGTGTAATAATATCCATGCTTTTTTTTTCCTTAAACTATTGCCATATTTTCAGTAAGTGTCTTTAAAAAAATACACTTAGATAAAAGTGGTCTGGTCAGTATGAGGGCATGAATGCCAAACAAAGAGTATTAGTGTTTAGTGTTAATACAAAAGTGCCAACTTTGCACACGTTTTAAAAAAAAAAAAAAAAAAAAATGGAAAAAAAAAGAAAATGTAGTTACTTATCCACCACAACCACAATTGTAGTTTTTGGACTACAGGAAAAATTACTGGGGAAGGAAAAGGTGTAAAGTGAAATACAGAATTCTTGGTGCTTTTTTCAAGTGCCAACTATTACTAGAAACAATAGAGCATCCTCATTCCTTATATAATACACTACATGAAAGAAAAAACAGAATTGTGTCATGTGAATCAGTGGAAACTTTTTTTTTGTTGAACATGCATAATATTTGGGGATATAAATGCTGATACTACTTGTCACAGAACAAAGATGAATATAATTTTGTGTGCTTCTTACTATGGCCTGGATTCTTTGTGGTGTTTAAAAAAAAAAAAAAAAAAAAAAAAAAAAAAGAACAGGGAAATAATGTTGACTATGTTGTTCTGTAAAGTTGTCTTTTTTTTTTTTTTTTTTTTTTTTTCCAATAGAAAGTGCTGTAGTATGATTAAGGCATGTTTTATAGAAGCAATCAAAAGAAATTAGTGACAGAAGCACTTAGCTCTGAAAACATATGCTGGACTTTTATTGAGTAACTTTCCCTTTGGACAAATTAGAGGCCAGAGAAAGGATCTCTAGGTGTGTTAATGTTTTCTGTTTCACCCACATGGTTTGTCAGAAAAGAACTAAAGTCTGAGGAATAGAGCATGCAAGAGAGACACCATGGGCAGGAGCAGGAGAAGGAGCTGTCAATTGAGAAAGGCAGAAAGAATGAGAGGCTGTCCTGTGAATCTCTTTTTGTTTCCGGTGTTTACACATGTTCCTTGAGCTGGTAAACCACACTGGCAGCCTGAGTTACCACAACATACTGACTGAGTGGTGGTATTTACTTAAGTTCAGCCTACAGCCAAAACCATTAGGGTATGTAGAGTTGTAGACTCTTTTCTTTACAAAAAAAAAAAAAAAAAAAAAAAAAAAAGCAAAAACAACAAAAAGGATATTTCAGCATACAATAAAATATTTGTTCATTGAGAATGTGTTCCTTTTCTGTATTTACTGACCCAGAATATTAGCCAAGAGTCAGAAATGTTTCTTTTGCTTTAGCTTCAGCTGTTTTGATTTGCTGTGCATTTCGATCATTCTTACCTTTATGTCCACTTGAGTACTTACACTTTCTAGAGGAACTTCTCAATATGGATTTCCTCTTTTTTCACTCTTTATGCATTTCAGTAGTCATGTTTCCAAAAGTAGGAATCAATAGCTAATAAATCAGTACTTCCAGCTGTAGAAAAAAAGAGAATTTTTTTTCTAAATGATTTCTCACTATGGTTCTGTGGGTTACAAGCCTCTGATCATTTTTTGATTCTGTGCACTGATGAAACCCCAAAAAATTTTGTGGATCCCACAGAAAACATAAGGGATTTTTACCTTCTGGTTTAACAAACAAACAAACAAAAAGTTTATAGCAAAAGCTAACCAGTTTCACAGTGTCTTTCTTTCAACTTTTTTTTTTTTTCCTCAAAGTCTCTACTACTTTGCCTTGTTAAATTGCGTAGAGTGATGTGCTTTGCTTTGTTTTATGTTGTGCAAACTCAGTGTGTTAGTGACAGAGGGAAATTAGAACAGTAAAGGTGGATTCTTCTCAAACACGTGGACCTTTGTAGTGTTACCTGTACTGCACTCCCATCCCTCTACAAATCATGCTACTTCGAACCAAGCAAGACATAAAGTCTAAAACCAACAAAACAAAAATTGAATATCTACAGAAGAAAAAAAAAAAAAGAAAAGAAAGAAAGAAAGAAAGAAAGAAAGAAAGAAAGAAAGAAAGAAAGAAAGAAAGAACAGAATAAAACAAAACTAAAACACTGTTTTGAACTATGTATGATATAAATAAATATTGTTTTTAATGAAAAACACATTTGAGGTATATAAATAATTCTTCACTGAATGAATCACTGTTCTGCATTCTTATTTCACTCTGTTTCTGTTAGAGGTCAAATGGTTTTGGTAAACTTGTTTGGAAACTTAAACATCATCAGTAGATAAATTCAGCATATGAATTACATAGGAAAAATCTGTTTATTACACAAAATGAAACAGGACTTCATAAAAAGCGAAGGAGCAGGAACAAACCTCCAAAAACTGTTACAAAATCCACAATCCTACTCTTATGGCATCCTAAATTTCATTCAGATTGTGCTTAAGCCCTGTAGAAGATACGATCTCCATGTAAGAGAACTTCGTGATGGACAGACTATTGCTCACTGTTATCTTTAGGTGAATCAAGTGCTTTTACTGTGCTAGTGATACTAAAGTCAGAACAGTCTAGGTTTTAGGAGGGCACACAAACTTCCATTGAATTGAATGGTATTTCCCTCCTTCCTATTTACCAAGCATCTCTATGAGGATCTGTGTTTATCAGAAACGTTCCTATGATAGAATTGGTATTACTTGCAATTTTCTGAACAATGTTAAAAAAGGCCAGATGGTAGAATTTTGGTTTTACTGACAAAATTAACACAACTGCTAGCATTTCTAGGTGATCTCAGCAGAGATGCACACTGTAATCACTATAAAGACTGAACCTCTTATTTGTCCAGCACAGGGCATAATGGCGTGATGACAAGACAAGTGTGCTGCTGCTTATGCCATCATAACCTGTGGCTATTCTCTCAGTTTTCAAGACTGTCAGTCTAACCGTTTTTACAAGAATTAGGCTGAATTTGAGGAAGGGGAGTCATACAGAGGCTCTTCATCTTACATGGAAATTAGTTCCTTGTTGTTTAGTTCCTATAGTTATTGCAGGCATGCTTTCCACAGTGTTTTACCATTTTGTTCATGCAAAGTAGTTGCATATTTCTGTAAATCTCAAACAGGCTTTGTCCACTTTTTTGTGGACAAATATCTCTGCATGCTGAATCTCCTTTAGAAACAGAATTACTTCTCTTGAGATGTTTATGCATTTTTCTTGCTTATGGAGAGCACTCTTTTTTTTTCTTTCTTTTTTTTTTCAGGGAAGCATGCAATACCAGTTAATCATTACATATCTTTTGAAAGACTGTGTGGAAAAAATTGGAAGGAAAACAGCACAGTCAAATCACATGAATTGGAACCAGGAACTGAGCATTAATACCACTGGTGGCCTCATGTCACTGCTTAGTTTTTGGCAGATCACATCACTCACCTGTTTATGTTTCACTCCATTAAAACATGGCTAATACTAATATGCTCTTAGTGCATATGGGTGTTTCTGTGAGGATTAATTATTTAGTGCTCGTACAGAGCTAATTTATATTTTAAATATTTCTGCACATCTTACACTATTTAGCCAGTTTTTCTAAGTTGTATCTTAAACAGCTACATTTTGTTACAGCTGAGATTTTAACTTGGCCTCTTAAACTGTAACTGGCTCCATGGTGACACTGTAGTAATGCACACAAAGTATAAGCACTCTGTCACTGAGTCACAATTGAACTTGATAAAATGTGGAAGGTAGATTTAAAAGCCTGTAAGCACTTACACAATGCTCTGAAAGATCTCTCAAAGGCTTTTCATGACTAAGCTCATAAAATTTGTTTCTCAGATACTTCTCACAGCAGAAATTGTGCACCATATTTTGCTGTGAGTAAACTTCATTATATTTCCTTCCTTCCTTCCTTCCTTCCTTCCTTCCTTCCTTCCTTCCTTCCTTCCTTCCTTCCTTCCTTCCTTCCTTCCTTCCTTCCTTCCTTCCTTCCTTCCTTCCTTCCTTCCTTCCTTCCTTCCATTCTTCTACCATTGTGGAAATGAAAGTGTACTTTCTCTGCCTATTCCAAAAGTTTATAATTTACCATCAACTATGTGTTTTCTTTTCCATCCACAAATCAGGAACCGTTTAGGAAGAAGCGTCAACAGGTACTGAACAGTAAAGCAGATGCCACGGGAGGTCAGTACCTCTGTAGATCCAGTCCAATATAGCAAATAGAAAGTGAGACTTCATACCCTTGAGGTATATGCTTGAGTTTTCCCTGATTTTTATTCTTCTCAGTTAACGCAATTAAGGATTCAGCATAGTTAACTACATGGGCAAAGAGCTGCGTAACTATCTGGAAAACCCAGAAACATAATGATACAGGGTTTGTTTTGTTCCAAAGATAGGAACCACTTACAAGAACAAGCTTTAGGTCCAGGATATTCTCTTTCAATGAGTTTGGTATTTTAAAATCAAATTATATGGTTTGGATCTGCTTTTTGATAGGATTGTTAGAAATCTCAGCCACTGTCAGAAAACAGGGCTTCTTTTCAGATATACATTTTTACCCAAATTCTGCAGGACATTTTCACAGCATCATTGATGGCTGAGGAAGGAATAAGGGAGGGAAAGTGTTTGATCTAGATGTGCACACATGCTCCTCTAAATATTATGTGCCAGTTATGTGAACAGGAATATTAGCACTTCTTCTGTCCTGGGAATGTTTTTGTCACTTTTCTCTTTGGGTTGTATTAACAGAATTGTTCTTTTCTTATTTCAAAAAAGCAGCAAAGGTATCTGTAGTAAGGGTAAGGAGGCAGCAGGAGTTCTCTGCGAGGAGAAGGTGAGTGGCAGACACATGATGGCAGCTGGTAGATGTCAGTTCCTTCTTTTTCTTTTTCTTTTTTTTTTTTTTAAACTTATGTCACTACTTTGCTGCTATAGTAACTCAACAAAACAGTGACTCTAGTGCTACTTTGTGAGATAAGCATCAGCATATCCTGCCGTCGCCACATGATGAGTTGCGCTTTTTCCCCCTTCTGTACGGACATAAAAGGAACTCTTTTCCATACCCATTTTTTCTTTATGAACAGAGCAACATGATACAATGGACTGAACCTTTCACCCACACATTTGCCCAAGTACGTGTCTGTTCTAGTCCCACAGTTTCTGTCTCTTCTTGCCAAGCAGCATTATCACTGTCTTTAAAATGGCTGGCAACAAAAGGAAGCAGCAACTTTTTTATGTGAGTAAGATATCTTGAGTCTGTAGTAGTCTTTATGTGGCTTGTTTTCCCTAGTCAAGCCATGATCTTAAATAGCAACTTAAATGACAGCTTTGATTTTGATATTGATCATGTATATCCCAATACTGTTGCTGTTACGGCATTGTTGGCACTGGCACTGAAAGGAAAACTGTTCTTAGCCGCAAAAGGGTTAAAAAAATGGACATGTTTTTGACAAGTCCTCTGACTTTTGCCAGTATTATTGTTCATTATGATGACACTGTATTATTTTTTTTTTTTTAATAACAGCTGTAGTTGTCATAAAACTATTTTCCGATTCCTCTCCTTTAAAGTGTGGTGTTGTAAATTCATGTGACCTTTCCTGCAAAGAATAAATATTTCTTTTTTATATAAGATCTCAAGACAAGGCTTGGTTTGTAACAAATAGTGGCCCATTACAAAGCAGGAAAAAAAAAAAAAAAAAAAAAAAAAAAAAAAAAAAAAAAAAAAAAAAGAACTGAGCTGAGCATCAAGAAGCTTCAGTTCAATTTCACCTCATATCTTTCTAATAACTTACTTGTCACTTTATTACCTTCCAGTAATGTGAATGCTGCTGACAAGACTGTCACACTAACAGCAGACAACACCCTCTCATGCTTAGCCCCAGCTCTCCTGGCTACTTATTGCACTGGCCCTGAAGGGACACAAACTAATAGTGTGCTTTCAAGTTCAGCACTTGGCCATCAAATATAAAAGGATGCGTAATTGCCTGTTTATCCCCTGTGAAGTGGAAATTGAGTATAAGAACCAGGCTTTCCCTCCCTGTTCCTTGACACACACACACACACACACACACACGCACACACATCTGCAATGAGTGAAGGGAAGTCCCATCTGGAGCTCTTCGATTTGTCTTTGGGAAGCCCAAGGCTGCCACTGGCTGCTCTATCGAGCTATCAGACAGACAGTAACAAGATGGCTTCTTAACAAAAGGTCAGCTGAGAAATGCTGTCTGTGACGGCACTTTTGTCTGCTTATGTAGCAACTAATTGCTTTGTATTGGCATAAGCCATACTGTGCCTGCTAGAAATAGATGTGCAGACTTGCTGCAGGACTGACTGTGCAGGTTCAGTGGCAAAGAAGATGTGTAATCTTTTCTTTTTCTGATTTAGCCCATCCTGTGGCAAATTTCAGAGCAAAACCATCCCCTCAGATTCTAACAGTGAATGCCAATTCCGAATATCCTTCCTGCTGTCATAGGAACATCTCCTGCTGAGGTCAGCGTGAACCTCTGTAAAGTGTTAGGGAAGTGTATCTGAGACACTATCTACTGCCCTCATACAAGGAGGAATTTGCTCCTCCCTGATTTATCTCTTCATTAACAAGAACACTGCCAAAAGTACAGACTCCAGAATTGCCTTTCAGATGAGGCAGTCAGGAGAGGAAGAGTTTGAAAGGGGAGGTAGCTTGGGCACAAGCACCATGTTCTGAGAAGTTACAAGTGCGTGGAAGGCCAGATTACCTGGCATCAAGCATCCCCCTTCATTTGTACAGTACGTTGTTTAATCAGAACTGATTGACTGACTGCTGAATAGTCATTGGAAATTCAAGTAGCCAGAGAAGTAAGGGAAACATGCTTTCCTTGCCAGGTTGGCAGGATTTCTATGCTAGGTTCATAACATAAGATCCCATTTGTGCCAATGAGTGCTGCACATTGTGTGTTGAACTGGTATTGTCAATGAGATACGTAAAAATACAAAGACGTATTTCAGACAAATCCCAAGACTGGAAGACCTAAACACAGCCTTTCTGGGGTTCATTATTTTTCACATCCTTGGATTATTCACCAGATTAGTGGACAGCAGCTCCTTTTTGCTTGCTTTGGATGCTTAATCTGTTTCCAGTTCTGTATGGTAATTACTCGATATCTGCTGCAACAGAAGTGATGGTGCCCACTATAAAAAATAGAGGGCCTTTTACCAGTCAGACAAAGGTCATTGATCTTTTCCCTCCTTTTCTTTCCACATGCATCAGAAGCTACAAAGGGTGAAACCAGCAATTTCCTGTGGCTAGGTGGCAGGAAGGAATGTTTTTTGTATGTCAGAGGTGAAAAGGCTGAGCCCAAATTTTGCTCTCCCATCAACTCCATGAGCACATGGTATGGACCAAAGCAGGAGCAGTTGGATTAGCTGATCTGCAACAATGAGCTGGGCAGGCCTAGCAGCCTTTCTGCAACATTTCTGAGGCTGTTTGTGGAAACCAGGACTTTCTGATCCAATAAACCATTTGGGTCCTTGTTCTTGTGTGTGTGTGTGTGTGCGTGTGAGGGTATGTGACAGACATACAGACAGAGAAAGAGGGTGAAGAAGACATAATGACAGTAAAATGAAGATTATAAATTGGAAAAATTATATAATTTTAATCACATTTACCTGTATGTATATTTTCTCTCAAGTGCTTAATAACACGAGAAGCTTGACTGAGCAAATGTCAAATCTGCAGAGAGGTTTGTTCAGATGCTCTATGGACTTCGCATGCCACTCTCTTCAAACCTTTGGAGAAAAAATATTTTAGGAAAATGGAGGAAAGCATCCAGGGCAATTATATTTCTAGAGAAGAAAGAGAGAGCGAGACTAGCTAAGTGATGTATAAAGATTTTATAAGGCCTCCGTTGTCAAACAAAGGGTTGGGAATGATCAGAGGATAATGTGCAGTTAGGATGGCAAACTCATCAATAGTTTATCATAACCTGTCCGCTCCTGTTACGGAACGCACGAGACTGTGAACCGCAGCTCCAGGGGAGCGGTGGCACTGGTGCAGGCGCGCGTGTCCACGTCCGAGCCAGGGAGCAGCACGCAGCACCTGCCCATCTGGCAGCCAGGGGTGTTGGCAGGCCGCCTGAGGCCCCTGCAGCCCCCTGGCCCCACACTGTGCCAGTGGGACAGGGCGCGTCCCCCCAACTCAGCAGTGAAACGGCACCGCAGCCATGGGAATTGGGATCCCAGCCCCGCTCTTCCTGGTTAGCCTGACGACCTACGGAGCAAAGAGGGGCGCTTCAGCTTGTACAGATTAAGGCTGAGTTGTTTGTTATTTTTCAGACCATATTTTTTACATTTGGATTTTTGTAATTGTCTTTATTTTTTACAAACTCTTGTACAATCTTCAGTTGTTGTCTTAGTTTTTGCATTTTCTTCACATGTCCCCACCCATTTTCTTCTCCTTCCAAGAGAATCTGTCATAAAAATTCTCTCAGAAAAGTAACACATCCTCCTGATGTTCTCCATTTTGGAAAGTCTTATGCATTCCATCTGTGAAAATGGTCACCGTTTGTAAAGTGACAAGATGAATAAAATGGCCACTGTTGTGTGTGTGTGTCTCATTTAGCTATTTATAAATATGAAATTCAGCATGCTGCTTTTTCTTGTGCAAACTTTGGTTCCTATGTCATATGGAGCTACTTTCCATAATGTGGCTGTTTCTTGACGGGCAGCATTTGTGTTCTGGGTTCATGCCTCCCGCCTCTCCTCCAGTCTATAAGAAGGGCTCTGTGTCCTAATGGGATGTATGTGAAACAGGTGTGCAAACAAGCTGACCTGAACCCTGAAAACATTCAAAATTTATCCTGGCTGAAGCTTCACACACTTCTCCTTACACACAAACAGGTCACCGTAACCTGTTTGTACCTAAGAATATCTCATTGTAGGGGCTTGCACCCATGGCCAAATGGGTTTGGAGTTTCCTTGCTTTGATGAAGGCTCTTGCTCACTGGCAAAGCTGTTGTTTTAGCAGCATTGGCTGAGAAGGTCATACGGGCCAAGCAACATAACATTTTCCCATGTAGTCATCTGCTGCACTTCAGTTTGGGTGACCTGCAGAGATCAGGCTCTGACTGGGGGGCTCATGTGGAGATGTAAGCTGAGATAAACTGGATTTGAATCCTCACGCATTCAGGGGCCCATTGTGGGCTGGCAGTGGATTCAGTCACAGAGACAAAAACCCTGGAAACCCCTTTCTTGGTGGGCATGGGAGGGTTCCCACAGCGCAATGGTACAGCATCTCCTGCTGCTCTCAGTGCCATGCCAGCAGCAGCAGGGGATGCAGCAGGAGGGTGGCAAGCTCACCGCTGTCTTGCCAAGCTAAGCTTGTTCCAGCAGGCTTTATCAAAGCATGTCACTGGAGTACCTGGGCACAGGGAAGTGGGAGTTGGGGCCCAGTGGACACTTTTGCAAAGGTCTGTCTCTATTCAAGATAGGTGAGGCTTTTCATTTCCACTGTTTGTTCTCAACATGAGCAAAACGTGAATGCTCTGCTGTCCAGCCTGCAGAACCAAAGCATGCACTATGGAATATAGCTGTACAAGGGGATATGAAAAACTGCATCATGTTGATCAAATAATTGTAACATTGGTAGCTTCATAAATACTGTACGTACTCTAAACAAGTTTTTTCCATTAGTAATCTGAGGGAATTGAAAGTCCTGTTTTTAATTTGACTTTTCTTTTCTTGTATTTTCTGTACTGTTACTGTCCTACAGTATGTCTTTTGCATAAAATGCATAAGGTTTTGGGGATATAAATGGAGTTTTACTCATACTTTGTCCAAATACCTCTTGTAATTTGTATCAAAATTCTTGTACAATTTTTATATTAAAGATTTATCAGTCACTGACCTTCCTTTCTGAGTATCCTTGACTTTCCCTTCTTTTCCTTGTATTTCAAGAGCCACATCCTACATTTTAAAGATTTGCTTGTTTGCCAGAAATCAAAAAAAATTTAGGGGGCAGGTGTATTTTTTTCTTCTGGCTTATGCTCATTTCCCCAGAAATGTCATCATTAGTTTAGTGTCAAGAGTCCTATGGTTTTACTAAGTCCGTCATTTAAGCATCTGCAAAAAACCTCTTCAGATTGGCATTGCTCAAACTTAGGTATATCTGATAGATGAAGAAATTCAAGCAAAAGGTCTTGCAAAATGAACATAGTGTCCTAGCACAAGTCAATCTCCCTTTTGCTTTTCAGTCTGTTTGTTAGAGCTTTCTCGTGCTCTGAAAACGTGAGGACATTGGCCAAACATACATGTATCTCCCCACTGACCTTTGCTTAGTGATCTTAGGACTGGGCTGTAAGCATGTATCAACAGAGGACTCATCTTCAAATTCTTGTCATTGGCTTCTTGCTCCTCTCTGTCAAGAGTGCGGTGTGGTGTGGGGAAGTGTTCTGGAGACTCATTTGCAGGGCAGAATGCCGTCTTGAATCACAGGATCATATAATCAAAGATCATCGAGTCCAACTCCTGGCACCACACAGGTCTACCCAAAAATTCAGACCGTGTGACTAAGAGCACAGTCTAAACGCTTCTTAAAACCCCAACAGGCTTGGTGCAGTGACTACTTCCCTGGGGAGCTTGTTCAAGTGTGCAACAACCCTCTCGGTTAAGAACCTCTTTCTGATGTCTGGCCTGAACCTCCCCTGCCTCAGCTTGACACCATTCCCACAGGTCCTATCACTGGTCATTAAGGAGAATAGAACAGCACCTACCCTTCCAATCCACCTAGTGAGGAAGCTGTAGACCACAATGAGGTTTCCCCTCAGCCTCCTCTTTTCCAGCCTAAGCAGACCCAGTGCCCTCAGCCACTCCTCATACATCTTCCCCTCTAGGCTCTTCACCATCTTTGTAGCCCTCCTCTGGACACTCTCCAACAGCTTTACATCCTTTTTGTACTGTGGTGCCCAAAACTGCACACAGTACTCAAGGTGAGGTTGCATCAGTGCAGAGAAGAGCAGGAATTCTTGTAATTAATCTTGACATTTTTCTTGCAAGGGGCAGTTGTAGCAGTTGGCAGGATGTGAGCAAGACTCTTCTGGGGTAAATAGTTTTTATGCTCTTTATGGTGCTTGTGATTTTCTTCTTACTGTACTTCATATCAAAACAAACAAACAAATAAATAACAAAAAAAAAAAAAAAACAAGCAGATGAAGAGAGGTCTCACAACAGGATATGTGTGTGCATGGCACTGTGCTCAGGGGGACAAAAAGAGGCTACACTGCAAGTATATCTCTGAGTCAGTGTATTGGAATATGATTTGTATTAAATTTGTGTTATTTGTATTCTAAAAAAAAAAAGGGGGGGTTCAGTGTTGCAAGGTGCAGAGCACTGTGGCTATAATCCCTCAAAATGTTTGGATATGTGCTGAAATTTAAGTGCATGTACAGTCCTGTTCAGCTCAATAAGAACGGATATCTGTTTGCAAATGAGCCTTTCTCTAACAGGTTGTCTGGACTAGAAACAGCCTGCCAAGTGTTTGGAAGGACTCTAGGCTGGTTGCATCACATTTTCTTATCAACAAAATGGAGGCAACTGGACTCAGCAGACGAATGTGGGGGTGGAGGTGGGGAAAGAAAGGAATGTGAAGGCCAATTAACTAAAATTTGTTAAGTACTGTGAACTGAAAGTCTGAGGAAAGTGGTTGGTTGGTTGGCTGGTAATGCATTCTCTCTGATGGATTTAGTACTTTCCCAAAGCTAACTTTTTACAGCCCTCCCAGCATGACCAAGAGACAGTTTTCTGCAAACAGTTTAGCTATAAAAAAAGGGCTTCACCTTCCAATCTAGCTCTTTCCAGCTTTAATTTAGCCTATGTGCTGAGAGGCATGAACCATATCGATACAAGATGTCCTCCAAGGGTCCACTAACTAACTGTTTATTCAGTTTGCCTGTTTTTATAAATAGCCCAGTAAGGAGCTGAATGCATTTCATCTGTTACTAACTTTTAGTTGTTAGATTCATATCATTAATCTGTCGCCACTTTTTCCCTTCCCTTGCCTTGCCTTCCTTTCCCTTCCCTTCACTGCCCTTCACTTCCCCCTTCCTCTTCCTCTCACTTTATCCTCCTTCTTAACTTCATGCATTCCTTCTTTTTCTTTTCTTTTTCTTCTTCTTTTCTTTTTCTTCTTCCTGTTCTTATTTCTCTTTTTTTTTTTCCTTCTTTTCCCCCAAATGCTGCATGTGTAGCTCTTCATTTCAGTGGGTGGGAGAAGCAGGAGGGAGGGAAAAAAAAAATAGAAGTTAAGCAACTTTGGGGAAAGTCAACCTCTGTTGAGGCATGTGGTTATCCTCCCATGTTATTAAATGTCATAGATGTGTTAATGTAGTTCTGCATGGAAGCCAAGCATAATTATAATCTTTTCATCTGTCATAACACATCTATAATTGGCATGAATTCCCCTCAAACAATCTTTTTGAGCATAGGGTTTTCATACTCAGTGCAGAAATATTAGCAGGCACCCATAAAGGCTGGTTTTGGCACAACTCTGAGGTAACTGCCTGGGTGAAAGCCAGTCAAGGCACACTGGGCCACTTGAAACCTTGCTGTCTGCTTGTTCACTCCCTGCAAGTTGACAGTGTGACAGTAGATTAAGTGCTACTAATTTAATAAAGCCACTCCTACAGTGATGTTGATATGCTAACAATGAGCAGGGGATGGGAAGAAGAGAGGGGATAAAAAGTACATTAGTTTGCCTGTATTAATACAGTAATACTCAGAAAATTAAAAAAAAAAAAAAAAAAAAAAAAAAAAAAAAAAAAAAAAAAAAACCTCTATCGATCTTGTTTGAGGTGCAGTTATTTTTAAGTCACCTGACTCATGCTTACCCAATCCTTAGCCATATTCATCAGAGACAGTATAATGAACAGATATTGATTAACTGGGGTAGCTGGAGAGATTTCCCAACAGTGCTAGTTCACTTTGATAGGTCTCCAATGGGAATACATGCAACTGCAACCCTGCAACATAACTTACTGTGTTTCTAGGTCCTTCAATTGATTTTGTTTGAAGAAAAAATATACAGTGGCTCTCCTGTGACCTTTAGCTGAAACCTTTCTGTAAAGAAGAACACAAATGACAGTCAGAGCAAATAAGCAACACTGCTTACAGTACTGGCTGTCGTATCAGTGCCAAGGTAGCTATGTGCTGCATGTAGACTGTGGTCTCCATAGGACGAAAGCGCCCACTGCCCTGCTTTCAGGTGGCATGCTCTTGACACTTGCAAGAACAGAAACAAAGAGAAGGGAAGGGAAGGGAAGGGAAAGGGAAGGGAAGGGAAAGGG